TCGTGGCCCACTGCCGCTGCTGTCTCACACGCTTGTGCCCCCTCTCTCTCTCTCCCTTTCCTTTTCTACAGCCGTGAGGAGGCGTCTCTACTCCAGTCCGCCATAGCCGCCCTTTTCCTACCGCGCGCGAGCGCACGTGCTAGGCTGCTGCGCCCTCGGCTTCGCGCAGGACCACAGTCGCAGCGCCCCTCCTCTCGTGCCTACGCGTCGGCGGTCTTACTGCTCCTCCATGCCTCCCACCAGTAGCAGTGCCGCCGCCCCTTCCCCGGTCCGCTCCGGGCCGCTGCCCTCCCGTGCGTCCGTGCCCGCAGTGTGGTCATACTGCTCCACGGTGCCCCCCTCCTTTTCCTCCTCTACCACGGCCGTGCGTGGCCGCCGTGCCCACCTCGGTCTGCGCTGGACCGCCATCCATCGGGCTGCCTTCCCGCGCCTCTTTCCACCGTCGTTGCCGCCTGGGCTGCTAGCCGCGCGCCCTGTTTGGGCCGGCCTTGCGCCGCTGGGCCGCTCACGCGCTGTGCGCCTGCGGGCCGAACCATCTCGCCTGCCGTGGGCCTCGCTGAGGCCACGCCCACCGTTGGGCCGAATAGGTGTCCGTTGGCCCCTTTGGCTTTCTAAAACATTTAGTTAATTTAGTTTCAGAAATAAATTTGTAAAATCAAAATAAAATTGTGTAGGTGTCCAAAAATGGTGAAATCAATTTTGTTAGTCTCCTAAAATCCTGATCCATCCAATAGTGTATTTTATTCACATAGTTTGGCAATATTCTTGGAAGCTATATAATTAATTTAAGGTATTTAATATTGTAAAAATATAAACTTGTAGAAATTATTGTGATAAATTGGTAATACTGTTGAATCTGAAATTTTTACAGTAGGCTCCTAGCAATATTAGGTATTCATTGTAATTTTGGTGGCTCCAAAATAATCAGTTTGCTAGGTAGCTAATGATGCTCTATTTCGAATAAGGATTAAATCGATAGAATGGAATAAAGAAACAACTTGAGATTGTATAACTAAAACAATTGTTGGAAAATAATGTCTTATTTGACAACATGGATATGTAGCCTAAGTACGGTCATCGTTAGAACTAGCTCGTTAACTAGAGAGGCGTAAATCGTATTTTACGAATTACGGTTGGAGTTGATTAATTACGTCTTTGCATTGCATCGTATTGCATATCATAATAGGGACGTCGATGGATCGTGGAGTCATCGGGAGTTGCTAGAGAAATGGTGCTTTTGGAGATCGAGTCGCCATAATGGAAAGCTAACTTCTAATTATATTTTACCCAGGCAAGCCCCGGCGCATAATCCCTATTTTGTTGCACTTTAAATTATATTTGTGCATTAAGTTTTAAGGAGTTGAATGAAACCCACTTGCATATATATATATATATATCCTATGGGTCTTACTAGTAGTATGACAGGATCGTGTAGATTGCTATGCTATAAGACTCCGATAGAAGTCGAGTGATTGTCTGTCACTCGCGAGAGATAGGAAATATATTACTATATTGTTGTCACTTGGAAAATATAAATGGTGGAAAGAAAAATGATGACCGGACAGGGATATGGTTTGGGTATTGGTGGGTGTAAGAAGTTGTGTCCTACGACCATGGGGGCATAGCTTGGTTACACTGCTTTCCCTGTCTGTGTCGGTTAAGGACCAGCCGTTGCATAAGACGCTAGGCAAGTCACAGATTTATTATCCCGAGCACATACTTGTGTATGGGCGCTTGGAAGACTTGTTACTCTCTTGTCATGGGTTCCGTCTCTTTCCGGACCGACTATCATGGTGGTTTTTGGGTTAGGAGGTCTTTGCACTTCATTGAGTCCGGGACTCTGGGGCGGGGGCTTGGAGTCCCAGTTTAGACGAGGATCTGGACCCCCGTGACAGAAGTGTAGTGGGTTGGTCCTGCTTGTGCCTGGGGTATAAGCGGGGCATGTGCTTTTGGGGTACCCAGCTGGGGACATTGATTCTCGAATCGCCGCCGAGTCGGTACGACTTGTCTTAACTCTAGCACAGTAGTAAGAACTGGAAGATGAAATATGACAAAAGGAAATCTGATTGCTTACCACCTGCTTGAAAGTAGCACAGGTGCTTACATAGAATAGTTAGTTAATGAACTAATGTACTGCTAATAAAAATCGAATATAAGGACGCACTTTTAGTAATGCTCCTGCAGATGCAATGAACCCACAAGCCAGATAGCCTTGCATATTCTTGGAGTCTTTGCTTTCCTCCTGTCGGGTAAGTCTTGCTGAGTACAATTGAGTACTCAGGGTTCTATCCCCCCTGTTGCAGGTGACAGGTGGATGCTAAAGCTGACTCTTGTGTGTGGATTCCTCCTGGTGGGCTCAGAGAGGATTTCCTTACGCTGTGACCATAGTTTTTATTTATAACTCTCCCTAAATGTTTTTATAAACAAAAGTTTATACTCTGTTGTTCTAGTTTACATATCAATGCTTCATCATGCCATGAATAGATATTTATTTCCGCTGTAATTCTGATCATATGTTTATATTTCGTTGTTCAATTAAATTGTTCATAAACTCTGATAAGATGATTATATTCCGCTGTTATACAATAACTATTATACTTTGATATTGTATTAAACGTGATGTAAGAAATGGTTAAGAATGATATAAGTTGTATTCTCTCATTTGTGATTCTGATGAAAAAATATGGATTTTTGGGTTCTCCCCTAGGGTGTGCCCGATGAGACCGAGTAATTTAATGTTCTCCCCTGAGTGCTTAGTGTCTAATGGAAGACGAGCGCTCCTGGAAGGCATTAGATTAGGCTGTTCTGCCACAGTCCAGCCCACCAGATGATGACTTGTGGAGCACGGCGCTGCTCGGCGCACACCGCAAGGCATCAAGGCGGTATCCTGAAGATGGCGCAAGATCTCTTAGGATATGCCATATATTAGATTCCTGGTAAAGATTATCTCTTACCGGATTAGACTAAGATCTAACCGACCTGTAACCCTATCCCGGAGCTATATAAGGCGCGTAGGGGATTCCCTCAAAACACATTCAATCATATCTGATAGCCAATACAAACCAACAGAACACGGGACCAGGGTATTACGTTGAGCTGACGGCATAAACCTGTCTAATCTTGTCTCTCTCTCTTGCCATCTAGTTCTTGTTCACGCGCATCTCTTCGTACAATCTACCATCGTGGGTATACCCCTTGATGAACTGCCGATGATATTCTGTCGACAGTGGTGTGACCCTCTCGTCGAAGCATTCGTTGAAGCTTTATAAATACTCCGTGTGTCCAAAAAGAATGCAACTATTACGTGCCATTTAAAGTGGTTCATATTTGACTAAATTTTTAGACTAATTTTTTTAGTGAATAGTATTCACATTTATAACTCTAAATTAATTTATTATAAAAAATATTTCATAATTAATCTAAAGATATTTATTTGATATCTTAAATATCAATATTGTTTATTTACATTTGGTTAAACATGAGATACTAAAATATGTTGATGTGCTAGAATTGTATATTTTTTTTAAGGGAGGCTGGAGGAAGTGCACGTTACCTAGCAGCAGTTGTACTCCCTCTGGTCAGCCATCATTTCAACCTTGAGCTAGCTCTTGGACTCTACCTACTGGCTGGATCGTCACGATTGATGTCGGCGCCCTTCAGCCCCGCTGCGGATGAGGCTCTGGTCGACACCAGACGACAGGCCCCTCACTTGGGAGCGGCTCAAAGTCGCTCACACCATGTACGCATGCGTATATAATATAAATCAGCTCTATTTTCCATGTCCTGGCCAACGGGGGTGGGGGGTTGAGGGGGCCTTGGCCCCTCTATGGTACTTGCATGACGACCCCTTTTAATTAGCCTTTTTTTAATAACCTGGCCCCATCGTGCTTCTGCTTTGGCCTCCCCACTAAGCCACCAACATTATTAGTTACTCGTACTAGTATTTGTTGGGTTCGAGGTCAATATGTATCCTCAATTGTTGGTCTTGTTTAGAAGAATTCTTATAATATTCCTGTTGGTCAAATTAATTATATGGTGCTTTTATCTTTCCATGGTATTGGTGTGCAATTTTGACCATGATTTTATCGAAATGTAATTATAGGCCATGTTTGTTTCTATTTAAGCAGAATCACACCAAAAAAGTTTGTTTTTGCTTCTAACCATCGTTTCGAAACTTTGAACTAGCAAAATTGATAATCGGAAAAATCCCCATTGTACAACGATTATAAGTGAGTCTGTCTATAAGTGGAAATAAATAGGGCCGTGGTATATGTATCAACTACTCACTCCTTTTCAAATTATAAGTCGCTTTGACTTTTTTCGTACAACCATTTTGCTATGAATCTAGATATAATAATATTTCTAAATACATAGCAAAATAAATGAACCAAAAAAGTAAAAGCGACTTATAATTTGAAACGGAGGGAGTATCAAATATAAGTGTGTGATTATGAAAGTGATGCTCAAGATGAGAAGACAAATCTACTCATTTGGTTTTTATGCTTCTACACCAAAAAAATAATGAGTTATTAACTACCAAAATTTGAAAGTATGACCCAATTTTGTTATATATATTTTCTCATATATTTTCTCACATATACTTTCTCACCAAAAAAACATATTATGGTAATTCAAAAAATTTAAAATGTAGTACATATATAGTGCACTCATATATAAACTCACATGCAAAAATTGAGATGTAAACTCAAACTAAAAAATCATACGCTGCAAGACAAAAGCCACTTTATTCCATCCTTCATTTCAACGCACCAAATGAAGGTGAAACACAAACAAACATAGCTCGCGCTTGAGTGCATGTTTGTCGTTCTTCCTCGATCGGTCCATGTCCGATCGAGAAATTACTTAATATAAAAAAACATTTAGGAAAAGAGGAAACGATCCAAATCGAAACAGTCAGATGAGACGGAAGGGAAGATATGATCCACCATCATGCATGGCATGGCATGCATTGCCATGGCATCGATCCATCAAGTAGATCGCTACTGGTCCTTGGTTGGGTAGGATGCCATCTTGTTGATGCCGCAGAGACCCTCTGGCTTGCCGGTGCCCCTCTTCATCCGGATATACCCCTTCTCTCCCCAATGGCTGCCCCACGAGTTCTTCACGATGATGTAGTCCTGCCCCTTGCTGCTGCCGCACCCCACCGCCGCCACGCCGGGGTCCAGCTCCGCCCCGCACGGGCCATCGAACACGCCCTGCATTCATGGATCATGGATCATCCATGGATCGAGTTGCAGCATTTGCAACAATGGCGGATTAGATGGATTATGGAGCAATGGTTACGTACCCCGCTGTAGAACTGGAAGTGCCTGCCGGACGCCTCGATGGCGACGCTGACGGGCTGGTGCGCGAGCGCCTTGACTAACGCCCCCTCGTCATTGGCCGGCACGTCCTCGTAGCCGGAGATGGTGACGACCTGCTCGCCGTCGCGTGCCTTATCGTCGCAGTCGCCTTCCTCCATGAGGTAGTGGTACGCCTCCTCGGTGCGGAGGCCGCCGCTGGAGGCGATGCACGAGAAGGCGTAGTCCATGACGCCGCCGTTGCAGCCGTTGTTGCCGTCGGTGCTGCAGTCCACCAGCTCCTGCTCGGACAGCGACGTGAGGTTGGCCGTCACGATCTGGTTGATCCCTTCCACCGCCGCCACCGTCGAGAAGGCCCAGCCAGCAGCTGCCGCACTGCCCCTGGTTCTTCACCTCCGTCACCGCGCCCTTCTTCCGCCAGTCCACCGACGTGGGCACCTCGTCGTCGGCCACGCCGCCGTACCTGAAACGACCACCGCTGCTCGTCGTCGATGGTGGCGTCAGACGGAGGCCCAGGTAGGTGGCCTTGCATTGAACTCGTCGTGCGTGAGGTCGGCGAAGGCGTTGAGGCCGAGCCAGTAGCTGGTGACCTTCTTGTTGGCCTCGTCGATGTGGTGCAGGTTGTCCTTGAACACCTCGAAGCGGCGCAGCTTCTCCTCGAAGCTCGCGTACGCCTTGCGATACCTGGCCACCCAATCCTCGAACAGCTTGATGAGGCGGTCGTGGTGAGCCAGGCCCTCCGGCGAGTACCCCACGATGGAGAAGAAGCCGTCGCTGTCGCTGTCCATCTGTGTTAGAACCGGCGGCTCGCCGGACCTAGGATCTCACCGGCGCTCGTGGCGATGCCCGGGGATGGGAGCGCGATGATCACCCACACACAGCAAGAGTCTTTTCTTTTAACTGCCTGGGCGCAATCTTTTCGATGCATTGCTAGTTCCTTTACATGGCCTTCGATCCGCATTCCCCGCCATGACGCACAACTGCGCGGTGCACCACTTTCTTGGATGCCCGCGCGACATGCACGGCATGAACGCCACGGCGGGAGCTGGCCTTAGGACGCGGTCACGGCGCACAACGTGTGCAATCTCCGTCATGCCCGCGATTCTACGCTGTTACATAAACATGTTTGAACTGAAACAAACTAGCTAATGCAACTACATGCTAATACAATTGTTTGACACGATTACAATATGAAACATGAAACATTTCACCCCCTTAATCTTGTCAAACTCTGATGATCCCCAGCTGATTCCTCATCTCAATGAACCTGATTCTCCCGAGAGGTTTTGTCAAGATGTCTGCCAGCTGTTCATCAGTGCTTACATGCTCAACATCAACCACACCATTTGCTACACACTCCCTGATGTAGTGATAGCGAGTGTCTATATGCTTGGTTCTCTCATGGTATACAGGATTCTTGCAAAGCTCTTGAGCAGATCTGCTATCAATGTAAAGTTTGAACTTTTTCACTTCAGTTTCAGTTAGATCAGCTAGTAACCTGCTTAGCCATACTCCCTGACAAGCACCAGTTGCTGCAGCAATGTACTCGGATTCACATGATGATAATGACACCACCCTTTGTTTCTGTGAACTCCAAGTAACCAAGTTTTCTCCCATAAAGAAGGCTACACCAGTTGTGCTTTTTCTCTTCTCTATGTCACCTGCATGGTCACTGTCAGTGTACCCAAATAGCTCTGCATGCTTCCCCTTGACAAATTTGCAGCCAAATTCAGTTGTCCCTGCAACATATCTGATAATCCTCTTGATGGCAGTCCAATGTTTAGAGTTAGGTGTCTCCATAAACCTGCTGACCATCCCCACAGAAAAAGCTAGGTCTGGTCTAGAGTTCACCAGATATCTGAGGCCCCCAACAATGCTTCTGTATTTTGTTGCATTGGCCACTAACTCAGGCTTGCCTGGCAACAGCTTTACATGCTGCTCCATTGGTGTGTCAACTGGGTTGCACCCTTTCATACTTGAGATTTCAACAATCTTTTGAGCATATGCACTCTGGCAAATAGTGATATGTCCTGGCTCTTGCTTTACTTCCATGCCCAAATAGTAACTAAGCAAGCCAAGGTCACTCATGTTGAAACTTTTACTCATCTGCTGTTTGAATGTAGCAATACCACTGCTATCTGGCCCATAGATGATTAGATCATCCACATACACCCCAACTAGGAGTAGTGAACTACCAGATCCCCTCCTATACACTGCATGTTCTTCAGTGCTCCTGACAAAACCCAACTTGTACAGCTCCTGATCAAGTCTGGCATTCCATGCCCTTGGGACCTGTTTTAGTCCATACAATGCTTTCTTGAGTCTCAATACTTTCCCAGGTGACTTTGGATCAGAGAACCCAGGTGGCTGGTGCACATAGACTTCTTCCTGCAAATCACCATTCAAGAAGGCAGACTTAACATCCATGTGATGAACTTCCCATTCTCCTTGTGCTGCTAGAGCCAGTAACATTCTCACTGTCTCCAACCTTGCAACAGGTGCAAAGACTTCATCATAGTCCACCCCCTGGATTTGTGCATAGCCCTTAGCTACCAATCTAGCCTTGTGTTTTACTACATTGCCAGCTAGATCTCTCTTCACTTTGAACACCCATTTAAGCCCTATGGCCTTGTGATCTCTTGGCAAATCTGAGAATTCCCAAGTTTTGTTCTGAGTGATGGACTCCATTTCGGCTTGCATTGCTCTCTTCCAGCACTGTTCATCAAGAGCCTGCTCCACACTAAGTGGTTCATTAGCTGCTAACATGCATACTCCACTATATTCAAAATCTTGCACCTCTTCAGTTGAGTCAAACAAGTCTGTCAGTGTTCTGTATCTGACTGGTCCTGAACCTTGACTTGCTGAAACTGAATCTGGTGGTGTTGCCCACCCAATGTTTGGTGCTGCACTGGAGTTTGGAGTGATTGGAGAATTCGGTGCTGCTTCTTCTGGACCCACAACACCCCCTTGATCAGCTGGTCCATGCCCAACTGCATCTGGTTCAGGAAACACTGCATTTTCAGTGTCAGTTCCCATTGTTGGATTTGAGTCAGTTTCCTTATAATGCACAACAAAAGTATCTGCTGGCTGTTGAACTGTACTGCTCTGTGCATTGGTCCAATCCCAAGGCTTGTTTTCTTCAAAAATGACATCCCTGCTTACAACCAATTTGCTAGTAGCAGGGTTAAAGAATCTGTAGCCTTTTGTTCCTGTTTCATACCCAATGAAGATCATTTTGCTTGATCTATCAGAGAGCTTGTTTTGACCAGGACCAACCACCTTTACATGAGCTAAACATCCAAAGATTTTCATGTGACTGACTCTAGGTTTCTTGCCATGCCAAGCTTCAAATGGGGTTCTATTATCTAGTGCCTTTGTAGGTGATCTATTCAGCACATAGACTGCAGTGCAGACTGCTTCTCCCCAAAATTCAGGTGGAACCTTCATTGATTTCAGCATACACCTTGCCATCTCAATCACTGTCTGATTTCTTCTTTCAACTACTCCATTTTGCTGGGGGGAATAGGGAGTAGTGGTGTAGTGCTTGATTCCACTCTCATTGCAGAAGATTGAAAATAGATTTGAGGTGAATTCCCCTCCTCTATCTGTTCTCATGGCCTTCAACTTGTCACCAGACTCTAGTTCAGCCCTGACTTTGATTCTTCTGAAGCAATCCAAAGCCTGATCTTTTGTTTTGAGCATTTCAATCCACATATACCTACTATGATCATCTACCACCAGTAGGAAATATGATGCACCCCCAAGGTTTTAGGAGTAATATGCCCACATAAGTCTGCATGAACAAGTTCCAAGACTTTTTCTGCTCTAAAACTTGACACTGATGGAAAAGGCTTTCTGTGTTGTTTGCCTAAGACACACCCATCACACACTTGCTCAATTCTTTTGACTGCTGGCATACCATCTACCATGTTCTTGCCACTCAAATCATGTAAAGCTCTGAAATTCAAATGGCCAAATCTAGCATGCCATTGCCAAGCCAAGTTATCTGAATTTGCTAACAGACATATAGGTGACACTAACCCAAATTTCACAGTGTACAACCTGTTAGCAGTTCTTGGAGCAGCAATCAACAGAGAGCATTCTTGATCAAACACACACATTTTTCCATCCTCTAAAGTGACTTTGAAGCCTTTTTCTTCCAATTGACCCAGACTTACTATGTTACTTTTCAGTTTAGGAATGTAGTAAACGTGGGTCAATACCTTGTGCTGTTGATGACGAGCTTTCATCACCACTGAGCCAATGCCATGGATCTCAACAAGAGACCCGTCGCCAAAACGTACCGTGCCCCGGACTCCCTCGTCCAGCTGTGTTAGGGCTGACCTGGTGCCGGTCATGTGGTTGCTGGCACCAGTGTCTAGCACCCACAAGCCGTCCGGGACGTCCGCCGGCACCACGTTCTCTGCCAGGTGCACGATCTGCGTCGCTCCGCCCGCCACCGCGACGTCGCACGTCGCCAACATGAGAGCCGGATCGCCGCCACCCACGGCGACGTTCGCCTCCGCGTTCTTCGGCTCTTTCTTCTCCTTCTTCGGGCGCTTGCAGTCTTGTGCCCAATGGCCATATATCCCACAGTTACGACAGCGCCCCTTCCGCCTGGGCGTGCCCTCGGAGGTCAATTTGACCGGAGCCGAGGCGCCGCCATCTGAGCGCGCCGCCGCCTTGTACTTGGACTGACCGCCACTGGACCCGCCGCCGCCGCCTTCTTTTTTCGGCCCCGCATGGAACCGATGTTTGTGCTTCTCCATCCACTCCTCCTCGGCCAACAAGAGTCGCCCCGTCTTGTCGACGATGTGCTCGACCTTGACGTCGAGCCGGTCCTCCGCCGCACGCAGACGCCCCACGAGCTCCTCCACCTTCATGGTTTTCATGTCGTAGAACATTTCGATCGACACGACCACCGGCGTGAAACGTGAAGGCACCACGCGCAAGAACTTCTTGACGACGCGGGCGTCCTCCACCGTTTCACCCAGCGTGCGGAGGTTGGCAACAAGGTTGGTGATGCGCATGCCGAATTGATCGACGGTCTCGTCATCTCTGAAGGCGATGTTCTCGAACTCCTGGAGCAGCTTTTGGGCGTTCACCTCCTTCACCCAATCTGCGCCAAGGCGCATGGTTTGCACCGCCTCCCACGCCTCCTTCACCGTCTTGTGGTTGCCGAGCATCTGCCACATCTCCTTCGGCACCGAGCGCAGGAGCGCGCTCATGGCTTGGCGATCTTGCGATCTCTTGAGGTTGGTGCCCGGATCAATTACATGCCAGATCTCCAACGCCTCCAGGTTGCACTGGACGAGCATCGCCCACTTCGCATAGTTCGCCTGGTCCAGCATCGGCCAGACTAGCGAGCTCTCGCGCACGCCATGGTTGCCACTTCCCGACGCGCCGTTGTCGCCCATCTTCTTCTCCGTCGTTGTACGCCGAGGAATCACCTACATCTTCTTCGCCGGTTCACGCGGTGGGCTCACCGAGCCACCGTAGAACATCAACCGGGCTCTGATACCATAGTGTTAGAACCGGCGGCTCGCCGGACCTAGGATCTCACCGGCGCTCGTGGCGATGCCCGGGGATGGGAGCGCGATGAACACCCACACACAACAAGAGTCTTTTCTTTTAACTGCCTGGGCGCAATCTTTTCGATGCATTGCTAGTTCCTTTACATGGCCTTCGATCCGCATTCCCCGCCATGACGCACAGCTGCGCGGTGCACCACTTTCTTGGATGCCCGCGCGACATGCATGGCATGAACGCCACGGCGGGAGCTGGCCTTAGGACGCGGTCACGGCACACAACGTGTGCAATCTCCGTCATGCCCTCGATTCTACGCTGTTACATAAACATGTTTGAACTGAAACAAACTAGCTAATGCAACTACATGTTCATACAATTGTTTGACACGATTACAATATGAAACATGCAACAATCTGGTGGGGGCGCGCCTCCGGCGCCTGCAGCCACGCGCTGCCGCCGCTCGTACAGCAGGAGGACGGCAGCAACCGGATGAGCAGAAGACGAAGCCATGGCGTAGGAAGCAGAAGAGAGGCTGCTAGCTGTTTGCATATCCATTATTCTATAACAGTCGTCCTAATAAACTCCTACGACATGCGTGGGTAAGAAGCGATCCAATCGAATAATTAAGATATAGCAGTATCATCATGCATCCTGGAAATTGGATTTGACAGCAGCGATCTTGCTCTGCCGCCGCGTCGGCCTCAAGTTACTGCAGTTACGCTTGCTCAACTCTGCGATCTCGCGCCTGGTCATGGCCGCCGCGTGAGGCAGCACGTACATGTGTGTGTCGTCGTCGTCGAGCCTCTCCATGATGAACCTCTCGGATTCAGGCATGCATGGATTCGTTCAGCATGACGATGAACTCCGCCATGGGCGCATCACTGAAGAATTGAGGTTAGTTACCAGGATATGAAGAGGCCCCTGGTCGCGTTAACCATGTTTTGTGGACGAAGATGGAGTGTCGGATTGATCGGACCTCCCTCGCTCTGTGTTTTGTTTCGGCGCGTTGGGGTGCCCAATCTATCTATCTATTTATCTACTAGTGCTACAGTATTTTATTTACTTATTTATGCTGGGCTGGGTATTCCAATTCCAATCCAACAACGTAACGAAACGAATCCGAGGAGAGGAGGAAACGATTTTGTTGCTGCTTTCCTCTCTGTCTCTACCACTTTACCGCCATTGCTGCTATTCGGCCCAGTCTCCGGGCCCAATTCCGAATGCAGTTTCTTTCTTGTTAGAAGATCCATTCATAAATAAAGGGACGCAATTTCTGCTGGAAAACAAATATAGTACTAGACTACTAAATTACACCAGCAGTCTCTGGACTATATTAGTTATTAAGTATTCTTATTTAGTTGAGTAAATTATATATATTCACCTAAGTTCCTAAAATATTTATAAGTATATTAATTGTAGGCCATGGTAGTAACGTCACACAACGCTTTAGCTTACGTGTGAAACCCATACGTGGATACCACGCTCATGATTATAAAAACGGTCACTAAACTTCTACGTAATTTTTATTGAGCTTCTCAAACTATATAATCACCGATCTCGATCCTTATTAATAATCTATATTAAAGTATTCTATTCTAGGTCCAATGCAACAATCTTGCTGGAAGGACGTGCTTTGCTCTATCGGTCGCCACGTTGCAGCAACAAAGAGGGTCGGTATCACGTCCAGGTGCATCGGGCCGTTATAATCGTCATAATGGGCACATGCTAGCTACTTGCCTCGTTCCGATTACAACTCAAATCAAAAAAAAAAATTTAGAAAGACACTCAAAGAGCGACTCATATCTGATATATATTAAAGAAAAAAAAGCTAGTACAGATGATGGATAACTTACACAAAACGACCTCTAGAAAATAAGAGTACATCGAAAGCCAAAACGGTAATCTTCTTCCTTTGATCGTCGCTAGAGATTGAAAAACACACTGAAATGGCAGCAAAGAAAAGGGATACCTGCAAACACCCTCACCATACAAAGCTTTGAAGACCGCAAAATACACTCGCCGCTGCCAACGAGATCTAGTATCCACTGAGAGAACATCGTTTGGAGAAACTCTCTAGGAAACGCAAGCTTACAATCATTCACTATCGGAACAGAGTGTTGGAGATACCAGACCTTGCAATAGAACATACAAAGAAAGAGGTCGAAAGCCAACAAATTGTTTCCCTCGATAAACACACCAACTACCAAGATCTGAAGAGAACCAATAGATGTAACAGAGCGAACTCTCACTCCGACGCTTGTTTCGACGTCGACGAGATAGGGAGAGACCTGCCATCGTTGCCACCACCCCGTTGATGACGCTAGAGACCGAACCCTAGATGAACAAAGACCAACAAAAACTAAATCCACGAAGAGGTCAGGTCCCCGCTCCTCTAGTCAGCGGTGAGATCGCCGTAGAGAGAGGGAGAGGGAGGGGGACTGAAGCGATGGAGGGGGAAGAAGGGCGGCGTCGGCTGATTCGCTTGAGCGCTCTGTAGATTTTATTTTTACTATATACTAATAAGCTTGCAAAATCGTGAGATCCTAAATCGGTTTTGTTTTAAGTTAAACTTCTATGACTTTAACTAAGTTTTTGAAAACAAAATATGTTGACATCTGCATATTCAATGAATGCACAACCAAGACCGTATTTTTAAGAAAAACTTAATAGCACAAAAGAAAAGGACATGGATTCATTATCTACCGAAAAGAAAAAGAATCATTGGTTTATTTATTATCTCCAGCCGTACACGATGGATACAACCATTTGTTCATTGATTTGCACCGTAATCTAGGCCTTGGCGGCGTCATCCGAGGGAGGGACTCGGTCGCGGCCACGGCCGGCGCCGGCGCCGGCGCCATGTCCAGCCTCCAGCTCCTCCGCCCTGGCCGCCCAGCTCCGGGTGAGGAGGAAGCCGAGCGCGTGGCCAGCCACGGCGGCGAGGAGCACGCCGCCGTTGTACGACATGACGGCCAGCATCAGGAGGTAGGCCGCGCCCATCCGCGCCGCGTGGACCGCCGTCAGCAGCAGCGCTGGGACGACGGCGCCGCGGCGGCGCCAGCGGTGGGCGACGTGGGCGGACACCGCGTGGAGCGCCTCGGCGAGCGCGGCGAGGGCGAGCACGAAGAGGAGGGAGAGCAGGTACGACCCGAGGCCCCGCGCACCGGGCCAGCCCGGGAACAGCACCACCGCGCGGTCGCCCCAGAACAGGGACGACGACATCGCCTGCATGGAAGCCGCTGCCGCCGACGCAGCCGGGGCGTGGCCGTCGTCGTGGAGTGGCGGTGTCGTCGTCGGCCGCGCCATCTCCATCGCGATCGATTATCGGTCCCTTCTTCTCTGCACTGCTGGATCTTTGAGTTGGGTGGGGTGGCTAGCTAAGCGATGGATGGGGCTTGTCACTCTCAGTCTCAGTCTTGAGCTCAGCAGGGAGCTAGCTAGGGTGGGAGGCTTCTCTCTGAAAGCTTCTTCCTCGGCTCGCTCTGCTCTGCTGCCGGCCGGTTTTATATTTTCCCTCTGGGATATGATTGGGATTGGTTCATCACTAAGGTAGAGAGAGTCAACGTACGCGGTACGCGAAAGCCGCGGGCGCCATGGCCATTGGGTAGACACCACCAACTCTGCCCACGGCGTCTCTGGGGGTGGGGGGCTCCATTATTTACGCTACGCGGAGCTGAGTACGTAGCTGACACTGAAACAAAGCTTAATTTCTTTGGACCAAAGACCTTGTCAGTTGTCACCTTGACCCACTACGACTAGCTTTTTATTATTATTTGAAAGCTTAAACATAGTGACAGTAGTAGTAGTAGTACTGCTGCTGGGATTACCAGGTCAACAGACCAGACCAGCAGAAACCACCTCGTCCTCTATACCCCTCAGAACAAAACACTGACTACCAAACAACACAGATGCCGTTCCCTCCCAAACTGTCTCTCTCACCCAGCTCCAAAGTTCCCCACCCCCCTTCTCTTTTTCCCTTTCAGAACGGTGAAAAAGAAGAATGTTTTGATATGTGTACATATATTGCTTTTACTATATATTTACACAGCGTATATCAATTGCGTAATAAAAACTGTTTCTGAAAAAACTACAACGTTGGGACTTGGGAATGAGTATAGGAAACACACACGTTTGGTTGGAGGTAACTGAACGGACGCAACGAGAGTTTGGAGATAGAAGTTAAAAAACCTTTTTATTTATTTTGTGGGAGTGAGAGTGGGAAGGAGAATGAAAGTTTAGAGGGCCAACTCTAACAAATCAGCGAGTGAGCGAGCACCCCAACGCATCGGGCTTGCAAGCGAGCGCCCTAGCAACGCGCCCGCGCCGCCCTGAACGTCACCTGCGCCGCCAGCCACTTCCCACACGCATTCAATGTACAACACCCGATCTACTTTTGAAACATCCAGATACAACAGTTGCAACATACAAAAGAAGACAGATGAAACACTTGCAAAACACCTGAAAAACACTTGAACCATCGCAAACATATGCAACATCTAGATGAAACACTTCCAACAGACGTATGAAACACTTGAAATACGCTTGCAACATGTATGTATATGCAACATCCAAAATCTACTTTTGCAACATCCAAATGAAAACACTTGCAACATATGTCTGATACAGATGAAACATTTGGAACATATAATTGAAACATACATGCATAGTGATTGCAACATGTGCAACATCCCGATCTACTTTTGCAACACCGATACGAAAACACTTGCAACATAACCTGAAACATTTGGAACACATGAAACATATGTTTGGAACATGTGCTTTCAACGCAACTTCTCCTTGCTGCTTGGGAATGGAAGCTCGTCAGCGTGTGGAGTTCACCGGTGCGGAGCTCGCCGTTCCGGTGGAGAAGGCTGCGATGGGTCTAGGAGGAGGGTTGCACAGCCCCCCGTGAGTAACTACGCTTCCCCTGCGATAGGGGGTGTGCGGTGCCCTCGGCGAGCGGCACCGGTGGTGGAGGCAACAGTAGCGGTCGGCCGGGTCCGGCCTCGCACGGCGAGGCACCCCCACGCTAGAGAAGGTCGTGGTGTGTGGGTGTCGTGCCCGCGGCGAGGCGCCTCAACGTTGGAGAAGGCCGTGGCGAGCAGCAACCGTGTTGGAGAAGGCGAGCAGCGGGCGAGCGATGGGGAACGCCGCGACGGCCGTGCGAGTTGGGAAATATCGCTATCTTTTTTTTTGGAGAAACCACGAAGGAAGGTACAGGGAAGCAGTCCTGTTGGACTGGTGAAGCGCGGCACCCGTCCCTGCACTGTAGCATTTCTGTTTCCCCCAAAGAGGGGTGGGAATTGTACCTTCAGCAGAAGATGAAACATGCATGTTGCCTTCCGCTGGTCCATCATTGCCGCTATTCGGCCCAACTGTGAATGCAGTTTCTTTCTTAAGAAAAAATCAGGAGGTCGCAGTTTCCTCTGTCGTCCCAAATTCTGAATGTAGTCTCTCTTATAAGAAAATCAATCATGGATGCAGTTTGTACTATGCCTAGAAAATAATACCTATCTTACTGTATACCACAACACGATGCACAACCATGGGCAGATCTATATTCATGGTCGTGGGTGCGGCCGCACCCACGAGAAATTAGAAAAACAGTCATCATGTTCAATTTTTCACTATACGCGCACCCATACGATAAAAAGCCGCAAACGCACCTTCCTTAAATTTGCTCTAGCTCTGCCACTGTGCACAACACGATGCTAGGGTGCATCTCAAGGACAATGTGATGCCGTTTCTCGTCACCGTTCAGTAGATTGTTGTCTCAGTAAAGTTGCAGTGCTTGCTCCCTTGGGGCTCAGCTCACAACAGAAATACATGCAAGACGTACCCTCCTGGAAGCATCAAGGGCAACAAATTGTCTTGTTTTTGTTTGATTGAAAGGAGAAAGGGCAACAAATTGTAGCTTCAATTTATCAGCACGGTCCCAAACCCTAAAGTAAGAAAAGGTTCGATCCGGATACAGAAAGCCACTGCAATATGGCATTTTCTGACAGTACCCAACACGACTAGATATTATTCTATAGCAGCTCCACAGAAAATGGTATGGCATGCATCTTTGGAGGAAGAGGCAACGAAGCCAACTGTGAGGTAGAATGGGATCCTTCACTGCGGCTTCTCGTAGCTGTTCTGATCCCTGAACTCTCCTATCTTGCTCCTGATCATGTGGGCCACATGAGGCTGCACAAACATGTTGGTAGGATCAAGCATGTGCACGATGAACCTCTCCGATGGCGGCATCGAGGCGTTCAGGTTAACGATGAACTGCGCCATAGGTATATCACTGTGGGGCAGAAAACAGAGGAATGGCAATCATGTATCAACAACTGTAAAGGGAGGAAGGAAGACATAAAAGCCACGGGTTTTCAGCTGTAGCTGGAGCTTACCAGGAGATGAACAGCCCCTTGATTGCGTTAACCATCTTGTGTGTGCTCTGGGCAAGAAAACTACCTGATTGGGGGAACAACAACAGTGTCAGTTGGAGAAGCAAGCAGCACAAGGACTACAAACTTTCACACAAAGCAGACTATGGACAAACTGGTAATGCAGTGATTGTGGATCCAGCTGCAAACGTAGTACTAAGGAACGAAGATTGATTTAAGGACCAAAGGGCCAACAAAATGCTCCCCGTACTGGGGGAGGATTATGAGGCATCATGATCACAGGAGGACTAAACTAAACTACCTGGGCATGAGCTCACGATTCCTGCAACTACCATGATACAACTACAAGTTGCAAGGATGGTATTTTGGTATTTACAGAATACCGGAATCATATGTACCTACCTACGAGCAGTAAAAATTCTGTTTTGCCTTGTTGACCACAAAATTAGCAGAGTGTGTGCCTTTTGTAGTTGTCTTTTCCTCCCTGAGCAGAAGTGCAGAATGCCAGTTTGCTACATTTTCTACCTCTGACAACATGAGCAGCAGTATAAAAATCCGTTTTTTTAATTGCCGGGTAAGCGAGAAAAAAGTCGGCAAAATTCTTTTGGGCACATAATTTCAGCAAGGATCTTGTAATTCTGAGCACGAATTACACCGAACATCTGCAGGACACACTGGAATTCCATCCAGTAGCACATACTTGGGAAACAATAAACATAATCTCTCTCTATAGCAGCAAGTAGGCCAATCATCAACCGAGGTCAGTTGAATCGGAGGAGGAAGTGGCCCTTGGGGAGCTCCATGATCCATCCCTATTCCCATCTCTCTTGCTGTCACCATGTCGATTGAGAACGAGGGGGGAAAACAAAAACAAAGAAGTTCAGATCGGGGACGACCTCACCGTTGCTTGGGCGTCGACGACGCTCGTCGTGGTCCCGCGTCCACCGCAGCCGCAGGTTTCAGGTCTCTCGCTTCGGATCGGATCCTCCACCGAGTCTGGACCGCTGGAGGCTGAAGGCTCCTCGCTCGCCGGCGGCGTCGCCGCTCCTCTGTCTATCGGGCTCGCCTTCCTAGTTTCTTTCTCCGGCGCTCTCCCTCTTTGAGGCAGGGAAAGTACAGAGATGTTGGGCCTGTGGGCTTCCTTGTCCGACCACGAAGCCCATATTCACAGCCCACGGGCCGGCCTATTTTTGCAATTTGACAGCGCAAAAAAATGAAAATTATTAGTTAAGGGGAAATATTACAAACGCCGTGCTGTTTGTAAAAAAAACGTGCTAAAAAGAGATCATTTTCCCATTTTATTTTTAATTAGAACAGTAATAATCTTGCCTTCAACTGAACCGTACGTGTTTTTTTAACATCAAACTGAACCGTGTCGGGTGGCTCATGTGATCCTGTCAATTGGATTGGTTGGCTAAGGTTGTGCATGGTGCGCAAAGACCCCATATTTTCTGTGAATTACATTAGTTCCTAGGACTGCAAAATAGAAATGACGTCAATTGTGTGTTAAATAAGTTAAACCATAAATTTTTGGACATGGTAAAACCAATCTAGTTTTCAATTTCAGCACGAAGGGGTAAGCATACCTTCTACAAATGCAAGGTAACCATACTCATAAAATATAGGCAATCAAACACATTCTCAGCAACTTGCATCCACTCGTACAGGCTGAGATTCAACCTACCAAACACAGACTCAGCTTAGCTTGCATCCACAGCTGCTGCAGCCAACCAAACACTGTTCTTTTTAGAAATACGGTTCCACTCAGTCAAGATATACATGCCCCGTTCGCTTCGCTGAAAAAATAAGCAAAAACACTGTTCCGCCTGATTTGTTGTGAGAGAAAAACACCGTTCCAGCTAAAAAAAGAAGCTGAAAAGTACAGATTATAAGAGAAACAAACAGGACCACAACTCCTCCGTCGATAACTGAATAGCCAGTAGCAGCCAATGAGGAGCTTGTTGATATTGTGTTGGCTACCAGCAGCCAAACGCAATGAGTCTCTGAGTGGTGCCTTCTCCTCTCATATATTTGTCTCCACTTCGAGCATCACCTCCTCCCCGGTAGTGCCAGAGTTAAAGGATGAGGGCCCCCCTCCCTCTAAACCCCATATTTTCTATTGAATTTTTTTAATTTGACTATGTTTTTTTAAAAAAAAATATAGATGGTTCCCTAAAAGTAATAATCGCATTTCCGGTTTCCCCACTACTCCTAGGTCCTAGCAGACTACTCCAGCTAAAGTGGAATCTACTTCTTCAAGGGGCAAAAAGGTAATCTCACCTTAAATTTTAAGATATGGTCGTCATTGATAAAAAATGGAGGAACAATATTAACCTTTTGGATGTTGTTCATCCTTCTTAACTGCAATAATGACTCATGCTGCTGCATTTGGAGTAATCTACCTCCGTCCAAAGGGCCTAGATTGTTCTAAACAAAAGTTATGTAAAATAATATCAATTTTTATATGTTAATAAATAAGTATCATTAAATAAATCGTCATATAGTCGCAAAAAAAAATCGTCATATAGAAAAATTTACGTTTTATTCTGATCTCTTCGTAAGTTATGCACTCATCAAAGTTTAAAGATGAAACAGGTCCCTAACAAATAAAAACAAGCTCTTAATAAGCTTGCAAGAAGTAATAACAATCTATGCAGTAAGCCTATTTGAAAACAGTCACACATGTTTGGAGAAGATCTACATTACTGCTGTCACCAGGACACTGACTTGCCCACTTTAATGTTGGTTGGTCATGGTTTTTTTGTAAGATGGATCAGAAACAGATCAATTAAGTAGCCTTGAAAACAGCCCGTAAATAAGGTGATAGTATCTTTTTGTCAAAAACCAAGTCATTTTGGCTCAACCACATAGACTAGATGATTGTGTTTGCTCCCACACAAACTTGAGAGCACAAGTACTCCCTCCGTATCGCAAATAGCGGTCGTTCTGGCCACGGACGGATCTGAGCGATTAGAAGTCGTTCTGGCCTCCAACGCAAAGTTTGGACGATGCTGCCCCTTGCGCTTCGTATCCCTCGCCGCGCGTTAAGAGCTCGCGCTTCGCATCCCGCGCCGCGCGTTAAGAGCCCGATCGATCCCTTGGCTTCCCTCGCGGCGTCAATAGGCCAACCGCTCGCCGCTAAGAACACGCGCGGCTGCCGCCACCGCACACCATCTCCACCTCACGCCGCACGCCGCTCGCCGTTCGCGCCATGAGAATGAATCAACACGTTACCATTGTTGGTTTGGTCCTCCAGCATAGGCTCCTTGAGATTGAAGGGGAGATTGCCGTCGTCATCTTCCTCCATACATTCAGATCAAAGCCATGGAGGACATGAGCCATTGCGCCGTACGGATTACTGTGGAAGGAGTTGGTAGAAAGAGAAGAAGCTAAGCCATGGCTAGATGAACAAGCAAGGCAAGGCAGTAGTACTCTAGGCAGTCGAACCGATGCCGGCGTTTTAATACTGCAGGCAACCGAACCGTTCGACCTGCTGAGCGCTGAGCGCCAAACGAACAAAAAAACGCGCCCAAGCGAAACAAAGAGTGAACGAAAAAGTCTACACACGCGGCAACTGAAAAAATTCGCGCGGCATAGCGCGCAACCAGCGTGTATGCGAGAGCAAGCAGCGAGCGTGCACATCGCCATGCAAATTCCCGCGAGCGTCCAAAAAAATAGTGCGGCCAAGGGATTCGAACGCTGGACCTCCAGCCTCGGTCCGCATATCGCTTACCACTCGGACTATGAGGAATTGTTGTATAGGAGACACCCGCAGTCCTATTTAATAAGGGCAAAGAAGGAAAACTCCCCCTAATTAATCACTCTTTGGCACTCCTTGGTAAGCGTAATCCTGTCCTAAACGACTTCTAATTGCGATACGGAGGGAGTACTATTCTATGATGTAGAACTAATTTATTAATGTCGTCAATAAATGTTAAATTAGTTAAACATAAAACAGTTTGACTTCAATAAAGCGAGAATGTAATTATTTATAGGATGTAATTATTGCATGCAAGCTTTAATTTTGATTGGAAAGACATTTAATGAGCAAAAAGACCCACGAAATCGAGCACTTTATTAGCGTTTTTTTTATAGAAAGCACTTTATTAGCGTTGAAAGCTTGGGAAAAGGTCCGGCAGGGCGACGTGTAGCAAATGGCCCATCTTGTTTTGTAAGGCGGCTGCTGGGCCAAAGGCATCCAATGCAAAGGAAAAGCATCAACACAATATTATACCTTTTCATTACATTACCAAAACTATATTCCTATGCCCCATAATATATTAGTCTATACTCATCATCATATATATGTCAATGGAAAACATCTTACTTTCTTTTCGTTAACATTTACTTCTTTACACATATATGGATTGTTATATGGATGGAGCCACCGTAGTTCTTTTCGATCTTATATCTCTCATGAGAATCTTCATATATATCACTGACCAATGGCAGCATGATGCACACGGTCCAAACACATACATATATATAATTTTGAATAATAGTATACAAGCTACAATAAATACAAGACTAAATACTTGTAGATATATATAATGTATTTTGATACGACATATGCACAGGTTAGCTGTATGCTGAGTTGCTGCTCAGATATACATTTGCATAGACTGAAGTGCCGTGATGAGCTGGAGAGCAACATGCATGCGTGTAAATTAATAAATTGCCATTGCCTTTATACGCAATATATATATATATGCAAGTAGTAAGAACTAAGAAATACTGCTAGGGTTTTATTTCCTTTGCATGCATGCCTAGTCAAACTATATATTCCCTCCATTACAAATTACAAATCATTCTAACTTTCTTAGAGAGTCAAAGCATCTCAAGTTTGATCAACATTGCAGAGAAAATTACAAAAATTTATCAAATACGTATACTATGAAAGTATTAATGAAGAATCTAGTGATACTTAGTTATGGTATCATAAACACTAATATTTTATTATATAAATTTAATTAAACTTAAGATGTTTTAACTCTTTAAGAAAGTTAGAAAGACTTGTAATTTGGGATGGAGGGAGTATACTCGTCTCATAGGCATAAGAGGACAAGGTTATCCATCCATCCATCCATCCATCCATCCATTTGATTCGATTTGCAACAACCAGATTGGCGGTGCATGCACATGGCCAAATGGTAGTGGTTGCTGGAATCCACCATGGACACTACACAAGCAGCAGGGAGGAGCAAGGGACCCCTGTCCGCTGATCCCGGGCACAAACCATGCCATGCATATATGGAGGAGTATAAACTAAACAAGACAGCTTCACACATCCCCATGCTAGCTAAGCTACTTCATCTTGAGTGAGCGGCATCAAATTAGACTTGCAGGAAACCCGTATCTTGGATCACAAACCAAACATACCTAAAATATATGCATGCAGCGTATTTCTTTGATGCTAGCTAGCTTATTCTTAGTTTTTATTAATCCTCCACCTTCTTCTGCTGCTGTACTAATATCACTACCGGAAATTGTAGGTTTGTCGAGTGCCAAGTTCTTTGCTGAGTGTATTCTATCGGGCACTCGATAATAAGCTATTTGCCGAGTGCTAACACAAAAACACTCGGCAAAAGACAAATCCAATATTTTCTTTAGATGCCCCATAATATATTAGTCTATACTCATCATCATATATATGTCAATGGAAAACAACTTTCTTTTCGTTAACAATTACTTCTTTACACATATGGATTGTTATATGGATGGAGCCACCGTAGTTCTTTTCGATCTTATATATCTCATGAAAATCTTCATATATATCACTGACCAATGGCAGCATAATGCACACGGTCCAACACATACATATATATAATTTTGAATAATAGTATACAAGCTACAATAAATACAAGTCTAAATACTTGTATTTTGATATGACATATGCACAGGTTAGCTGTATGCTGAGTTGGTGCTTAGATATACATTTGCGTAGACTGAAGTGCAGTGATGAGCTGGAGAGGAACATGCATGCGTGTAAATTAATAAATTGCCATTGCCTATATACGCAATATATATGCATGCCATTAATTGCAATGTAGGGCAGTAGTAAGAACTAAAAGAAATACTGCTATGGTTTTATTTCCTTTGCATGCATACCTAGTCAAACTATATATACTCTGGCCCCGCATAGGCATAAGAGGACAAGGTTATCCATCCATCCGTCCATTTGATTCGATTTGCTGATGATTAATTATCGAGCCAGAGAAAGCTATGCAACAACCAGGCTGGCGGTGCATGCACATGGCCAAATGGAATCCACCATGCATAGTACACAAGCAAGGAGAAGCAAAGGGACCCCTGTCCGCTGATCCCGGGCACAAACCATGCATATATGCATGGAGTATAAACTAATTAAACAAGACAGCAGCTTCACACATCCCCATGCTAGCTAAGCTATTTCGTCTTGATTATTGAGTGAGCGGCATCAAATTAGCTTGCAGGAGCCCGTATCTTGGATCACAAGCCTAACATACCTAAAATATGCATGCAGTGTGTATATTTTCGATGCTAGCTTATTAGTTTTTATCATCTCCTTCTGCTGATGTACTATTACGTATATAAATTGTTGATGATGTTACTGTGCTAGCTTGCATTGATCCCTTAATTAGCTTTCTGTTGCAGTGTTGCTGGACAGGTTAACAACTTGTTTCACTATATTCTATACAAAATATTTTTCTTCGTAAAGGGATCGTAGGAGTAACGAGCTAATAGTAATATATATGTATCCTTATTTGTGGAAGTCAAGTCAAACAGAGCTGTAGATATTTGCAGGGTCTAAACTCTAAACAATAATACTGCGGTATGTACAACTAACGCCAGTTTTGACCGAGCAACTGTCGAGTCTGAACTCTGAAACAGATAGATCGAGCTTCCAGCAGAAAGAAGGGTCAAAGAAATTCAGGAACCCACTGGTATGTCAGAAAACTGCATAGGTTAGAACAAACATGGTGCTTTGTTTAGGAAGATCTGTCATAACGACAGAGGTATCATCTTTGACCAGGGCAATAGAATGGGGATGCATGCGACTTGACCTTTCTATATATGTTGTTTTCTTAAATTTATTAGTTCGAAATTCAGGGCCAACAAGAAACAAAACAAAACCTTGTTTTATGAATTACTATTCTTGCCGGGGAACATTGTTGTCATTTTATTCTCATGTAATTTGTTCCAAGCTACCTACAGCCTTTTATGGGTGTAGCTTCAGCTGCAGTGCATGTGTCTGCCACATTGTTCACAGACATACGAGTAGATTTTATCTTAAATAAATACAGTTGTTTCATTTGCGTGTACGGTCCGGGGAAATGAGTATTTTTTTTGAGTTCTTGTTTTAAATTTCATTTTGTTTCCGTCCATGCTGCATTCATTTTTTTCTTTACGGCCCCGTTCGCTTCGCTGAAAAAACAAGCAGAAACACTGTTCCGGCTGATTTGTTGTGAGAGAAAAACACTGTTTCGGCTGAAAAAACAAGCTAAAAAGTACGGATTATAAGAGAAGCGAACAGGGCCTTTGCATTGTCTACTTATTTTAGTGGCTGCATTTTTTTCCCTATACAAGGTGAGGCATGCACGCTAGAGGACACTTTGTTGAATAAAATCCAAATTTGGTTAGGTTTTGATTTGCTTTATGTCAATTAGGATCATCCTCACTAAACATAACCTTTCTATTGTCAAAATAATGAATCGATACCATTATTGCACAAATTCCAATTGGTACCAATCACAAATAGTGTATAGTTAATCCTTTTGCTCAATAATAATGAATAAAAAGATGTAACCATGCATGATTGGCACCAGCTATCAAACAGATGCATGCAAAGCTGGTACGTACAAGGGAACAAAATGGATGCACATTGTTTATTTTCCCACATCTTCTTCCTTCATTGAGCCCTTGTTTAGTTCGCGAAATTTGGATTTTGGGTCTACTGTAGCACCTTCGTTTTTATTTGGCAAATAGTGTCCAAACATTGACTAATTAGGCTTAAAACGTTCGTCTCGTAATTTCCCACCAAACTGTGCAATTAGTTTTTCTTTTCGTCTACATTTAATGCTCCATGCATGGACCGCAAACATTCGATGTGACAGGTACTGTAGCTACTTTTTGGAATTTGGGTAGCAACTAAACAAGGGCTGATTTTCCATGATGGAATCTTACAGCCTTTTGGCATCTCACCAACACACTCGATTATATAGACGATACGATACACACAGATAAACAAATGGAAATACAGCCTTGCAAATTTCTCATGACAGGCACGCTGGCATCATTTAAAAAGATTGGGAAATTTTTCTCTCTTCCACAGAATATATGCAGATACATTGTCCATTCTCGGTTAAAAGAATAGGGTAAGTAGGTGCGCAAGAAGAAAAATCATGTTAGGCCCTACTCCTATTTGATAGAGCTCAAGCCAGTTGCGACCCCTCCGTGGTTACACTGTACAAAATAATAAGACAAATTTTTCGTTCACCTGAGTCTGACTCCTCCATGCCAAACATTCCAAATCTAATGAACTGTTCACTTATGTCCCAGTGGGTGAGGGGTCACAATGTGAGTTCTTTTCACATCATGCATCACATAGGATGCCCTGACTTGTTAGGTTAATAATGTGCACTACTGGTACATGATATGATAAACCTAAAACTAATCAAGTGTATGTGGGGGCAAGAGGAGATTAGGATGGTGGATCCAACCTGTCATCTTTTGCGGTGGCAATATATTTGTATATTTTTCTTGGATCAGTGAGCTAGCACACCATCGGCCTGTTCGTTTGGCTGGACTTGTTCGTTGCTGGATCGTAAAGAAGTACTGCTGGCTGGTTTGATGTGAGAGAAAAATACTATTCCGGCTAGAAATTTACGATCGCTTACGAGAGAATAATCCCAGCCGAACAGGCTGCATAGCACTGGAACCCACTCCCTGTCGTGTCATCCTCCCATGTGCCTCCCACCCAGCACATTGCACTGCAGTCTTGCAGACCACCTGCCTCCTCTCCCTCCCTCTCTCTCTCTCATATCATTTCCCTAACCAGAAGTTAGTTACTTATTACAAGTTACAGTGCATATGTATCCTTCTTGCTTAACATGCAGCATGCATGACCATATATACACTAATACACATGACTGAACAAGTATATGCATTGTTCTCTACATTACTACATATATATACAGATGTAGCATAGGTAAAGTCAATATCCAGTTTACAAGAGGTAAGTCGGTAACTGCTCTTCTCTTACTGCTGGTGTTATTCCTGGTGAGAAAAAAACAGAGGAGCATCTGCACAAAGGGAGGGAGAGATCAAGGCTGTGATCTTGATGACCTCTCTTATTGCTGAACACATTTGCAAATTGCAATGTAACAGGGTTGTGGCAATGGCCTCTTTATTTTGATTGAAGAATTATATATCCAATTAATAGTTATATATATATATATCTTTCCAAAATTACAAAAGGAAAAGGAAAAAAAATTCTTACTCATCATCAATTTGAGTTCACAGGAATGCATTTTGCATTGGCTGACAGTCACAGAGCAGTGAAGTTTCATCGATCGATCAACAACATGCATGGCGGCAGCAGCAGCAGAAGCAGAAGCAGAGAGCAGAGAGCAATGTCGCCGCAGCTAGCAGCTTAGTCGAGCTTCCACGCGTAGAGGTACAAGCAGAATCCGGTGGTGGCTGCCACCGTGACGTCGAGCATCCCCGCGGCCATCCCCGCCGGCGCCGACGCGCTGGACAGCACGATGGGGCGGAAGATGAAGAGCGCCGGCCTGGTGCCGGCGCTGAAGAGCCAGTCGTGCACGTCCCAGAACACCTCCACCTTGGCCCGGCTGAAGGTGAGCGACTGGTTGCCCCGGAACTTCCACTGCAGGTGCTTCACCTGCACGGCCTCCTCGCCGTCGATGGCGATGGTCATCTCGACGTCGGCGTCGCCGCCCTCGCCGCAGCCGTCGCACTCGATGGCGATGTCGTGCACGTCGCCCTGGTCGTGGAACCGCGCCTTGGCCACGAACCGCCGCCTGCCGAACACGTGTTCTCGCCGCGCCACGGGGACGGCCTCGGCCTCCGCGGCCGTGCACGGCGCCGCGCGACGGAGCGCGTCGCGCCGCATGTCGCCCTGCACCAGCACCACCTCGCTGGCCGCCTCCAGCGCCACGAAGTATCCGCACCGGGGCTCGGGCACCCCGGGGCCGAACCGCGCACGCCGGAGGTCCCACAGCACGCGCACGGCCGCTGGGGCCGTCGACGCCCCGCCGCAGAGCTCCACGTGCCGCGACCCGGCCCGGCGCCAGAACTGCCACGGCCGCAGCTCTACCCTGCACTCCGCGGACGCGCCGTCGGCCCCGGAGATGGCCACGGCGAACGCGTACGACAGGAGGTCGCGGGACCAGGACACCGTCACGACGCGCGAGTGGCCGGCGATCTTGGCGCGGTACACCGACGCCGTGACGGCCTTGCCTGGCTTGTGGCCGCCGTTGCCCGTGATGTCGTCGAAGGCCGCGAGGTCGCAGGGTGAGGGCGCCGCGGGCTGGTCGCCGCCGCCGCTCCGGTGCGTGTAGGACGACACGTGGTGGTCCAGCATGGCTATATGCACTGCTACAGCCGCGACAGCGTCATGTAGAAGAGAGAGAGAGAGAGTGTGGACGGGAAGAAAAGGAGAGAGGGGGGGGAGGCGCAGGGAAGGAACAAGAGATGCTTATATAGTGACGACCAGCTTTGCTGCTTGCAGAGAGGGAAGAAGAAGAAGAAGAAGAAGGAACATGCATGCATGGATGATAGGCCAGGTACGGTGGTGGGTGACGAACTCATCATCATCATGGAGCTACGATACCTTTCGCCATCACTAAACTATTCTATTCGATGAGATCGATCGGCTCTGCTGGATACAGGCAAAATGCTACATAATTGCATTGGATTCATGTGTTGGATGATGGGTTGTTTGTTGGATACATGTATGTGGATGGATCATTATCATCATCATCATCATATTTTGAATATTATATGTATATATAATAATAGCAACCAGTCAGATATTGGTGATTTTGGTATTGAATTATCTGTTGTGTTAGTTTCTCTTGTTTGTTTGTATCCATTTCAGTTCATTGCTCCTCCTTGATTTGCGCTGATCCATGTCGGTGCAGTCTTTGTAGCTAGTACTAGCTGTCGTGTGAGAGAACAGCAACAGCATGCACTGCAAGTCTTCAATGTAGAGGTGTGCTTGTTGTTTTCATGGGCATCTGGGCATGCATGTGTATCCTCCTTATTGCTTTGATGCACGCACCATATCCATAAAGAGGCTTTGTTTGTGGCGCGCATATAAACATACAATCATCATTCAACATGAACCTTTGGAGATATAGAGATGTGCAATTTATCATATCTCAACAATCTACTTATGCAAGTATTATGCCATAATCTCATAGAGGGAAAACAATCACTAGGATAGGAGTACCTTGTAGTAACAATTTGGAACTTGACAATAGCTGGTTGGGTTAGGGCCTGATTGGTTTGAGCCCAGGCAAAACTGCCAGGTCCAGACATGAATCCGAGGCGTCCAAATTTGGACACGTGGGACTGAGATTGCTGACTGGGCTAGGAGATCAGAGGCCTCCAACCAAACAGCTCTGTAATCTTATTGTAAGTCATGGACTCACCTCTCCTGATGCTGCTTGTTTATTTAAGTCCCCCAAACCAGCTCTAGTGGTCAACAAGTCTCCACATCCTCTCCTTCCTCCATATATCAAGGGGATTGATCCCAAGATGTGGTGACAGAGCATTGGAGGGTGACCCTGCCATTGTAGTCTGTAGCAGAGATCCAATTTCTATGTGCACAATTCCTAACCCAACCAGCTGGGTTGCAGAGCCTCAGGTTTCAAGTACACAGATTCAGATGCACCACTGAAAAGAAGTGCACAAAGGCATAAATAAAACTGGGGCAGCCAGGCATATGCATGTGGGGGATCTGGAGCATGCATGTGTTGCACAAATGCTTGTCATCCACTGCCCACTCCCAGAATCCAGATCTGCTACCCCATCACTGGGAGTGCATGGAGACTTCCTCCGCAGCTTCAGCAGCCTCCACGGCACACTTGCAATTAACAAATATGTACATCTATCTTTCCCCTATATTTTTTAATAATATATATCAGTATGTGCCCACATATGGTACAGCTCTAAGAACTTGGTGGAACCATGTGATCCAGAAAATAATTGCACTTTAAGTTTGTCATTGCAGGTTTGGAACAGCTCAAACACTGATGTATATCCTTGGCAAGTCAAAGTACAAAAGACATAAAAAAGAAAAAGAAAGGGAGGCACTCCTTATGTATTCAGGCACATAGCGGCATAGTGGTATCTGCAGATTTCATTAGGTGAGCAGAAACTTCATCTTGCCGTCAAAAACCTCCACTGTTTGTTTACTATTTAGTGCTTGGTCGGTGAATTGAAAGACCTCCAGACAAGCACTTCAAGCTTCTCCATTATATCAAAAAGTACAATGAAAAAGGCTTCAGACTAACTTTTGCACAACAGAGATCCCCTTTTGCACAACAACGGCTGTAAACAACTCCTTGGTGTGAGTATGTATAAATCTAACAACACACAGAAGATGCACAGCTAAGGTTTGTCGGCTCTGTTTTTCTGTTCCATCTTCAAGCGGCATCGAGTTAAGGTCTCTTCCCGATCCTCTGCAGGTACAATTTTCAACATGTCCTCTATGTCTGCCTTATGCTTCCTTTGCAGTGCACTAAGCTCCTCTTGCTGCTCAGCCAACAGGTTTATTAACCTCTCAGTGACATCTGCTACCAGATGCTGATCAGAATTGTGCTCCCGCTCATCATGTAAAGAGTGAGGGCTGCTACCGACAGAAGCTTCCCTAGACATGCTGTCGACCACAGATGAGTTTGACAAGTCCACAGATGATGATATTCGTTCAAACATGCCTTCAACAGGATGGATGGAAGAGCCAAAGGATTGATCCTCCTTATCTCTTGCACAGTTCACAATGTCATCTACTTTGTTCCTCTTTGGTATTCCATTGGGAATACTATCACCGATTTCAGGTTCCACCACCAATTGAGATATTTCACCATCTCTCCTGGGTGAGTCCGACCAGTACTTTCGTCCAGAAGGAAGCTGTTCTTGAACAAAGCCGTTACATGAGGCATCAACCTCATTACGGAATTCAGAAGTTCCCTCGTCACCTTCTGAACTATGGGTATCAGAATGAGCAGCTTCATCCCCTTGGTTGTCAATTGATTCCTCTGCTGCCCAATCAGGAATATGCGAACGTATTTCAGCATCTATCATTTCTGCAATCGCCGTCACATCTTGATCTGTGAGATCCAGCTGCACAACCATCTCAGTTGCAACACTGATTGAGGTGTCTGCTTCAATATCAAAGGGGAAGTGGATGTTTTGGGCATGACCTGTGCATTGGGATAAAAAAAAATGGATATAGGATAAGTGTCAGATTAACAATACAATGATAATTCAATGAGATTTCAATATCTGATCATAAAAACCTGTTGAATCAGCAATGCGCAGTTTCAAAAATATTGTATTCAAATCCTTCCGTTGACTCTCGACTGTGATACTTCGACCACTTGCAGCATGTGGATCCATGGTGTCATGTACATAGTTATCAGAAGGATGTGAATCTGACATGCTGCCTGCATTTCACAATAAGGTTGACATATCAAAAGGAGAGAAGCCTCGTACTGGTGAATCATTAAATCGGTGCCATGTTCATTACGCCTTTTCACGACTATACCTGAGCGATCATGGCGGCCCACAGATGATGCTACTCTGTCATATCTGAAACTAGAGCTTGGTTTTGGACTACCAGTATCTGCCATGTTTATTCTAAAGTACAGTTATGTGGGAACAAGAAAGTTTACTGCAATCTGTATCTGTAACATGAGATATCTCCAATTCAGTCACGTACCTGATGTATTAATATTTGGATGCAGTGGATAGAATATTTTTTCATCGCTAACATCTAGGAGAAAAGGATCCATTAAGAGTTCTTTTGCCGAAAGTCTTTCAGTGGCTTTAGCAATGCATTTCTCTATAAATAACTTTACTTCAGGATCATCAATCTTAGCCAGTGAACCTGGCCTTTCACCCTGTCATATATACCACAAATAAAGAAATTATGAAACTGAAAAACGTCACTTCATTGTACTATGAACATCGATTCAAGGAAGAATACATTTCCTAGGACACGCAGAGCATGAATAATATAAATCCATTTTTGGATTAGACTATGTAGCAAATCTAGTATGTGCATCATCTGCAGGTGTGTTCAATCCAATCAAGAAAAAGAACGCTAGCAAAGAAAAGATATTCCTTCAAAACATTACCAATGAACAGACTAGTATGTGATTTGCATTAAAGAAAAGTCATGAACTCTTTGAGAATGATAAATCCACCAGGATGACGCTGTAGGCAGTTTGATACCAGGTTGAGCAAATAATGCAACATGCTAGTAGAATAAAAGACGACCACAGAGCTAGAAGCCGCACTTGCTGTAGCTAGCCACTAGCCCACTACCCCTCGATCCATTATGCCAGTGCAAATGACAGTGGTTACTTATGTAATTTCTATGAACAAAAATACTAAAGCACAGGCATATAGTATAAGACAAGACAACCATAGGGATACATGTGACACTGCCTATGGCTTAGGCCTTATCCATCAATACATTATGATACTTCAAATAAATCATGCTAGCAGTTACTTATGTAATTTCTAGGCACAGCCATGCTTCCAGTACAATACTCACTGATGAATAACCCTGTTTGGTCGTTTATAACCATAAAAAGATACCTTCCACTGAAGCCTACAAGATCTTTCCATGTGGAGAACATTAAAACTGATCTTCAGATGTATTGACTCAACTAGAACTACATTAGAAGAGTCGGATAGCATGCACACTTTTAAAACTTTTATTCGGATCCTATACTTTAAATTATTTCAGTTGAAACCATTTGCAGGATCAGTAGTCTCACAGATTTCATCAGAAAAAGGTGACTATTTGTTTAAAACATATGGCTCTTAACTAACCCTAAAGATATAAAAAGTCACACATTATGTCGGAAAACAATGTTCAAAGATCGCCCTAACTAAAATGCATAACTCTGGCTTCATGTTTAGCCAAGTTCCATATGTCATTTTCATTCTGAAAAATAGCTAAAAGTAATTGGAAGGATAAGTAAACTAACATCAGATACTTTTTTGTATATCTGTGCTGCATTCGAACATTCACAATATGGGTACTCAAATGTAACAAGCTCCAGTAAACACATCCCAAAAGCATAGATGTCTACAAGCTCATTATATTCCTCGTCATAGAGTTCCGGTGCCATGAATTCCGGTGTACCTAAGAAGAAGCAGAGGTCACACGAGAAATTATAAAATTTCTAATGGAACAATAATCAAATAAATTGCTTACCAATGATACTATGAGCTGAACGTGCATTATCCAGGATAGTTGCTAAACCAAGGTCTCCAATCTTTACCTCACCCTGGTTTCCGTTCACAAATATATTGTCACATTTTAAGTCTCTATGGATTACAGGTGGATCGTGGCTGTGCAGGTAGACAAGACCACTCAAGATTTGCCTTGACCATTTCTTTAAAGCTCTAATGTCTACCTTCTTGTGCTTAATCCGGTACCTAACGAAAAAGGAAGAGGTTGATACAAAGTTCAGCAAGAGAAAGGTCATATATTTTCAAAGATCTAAAATGTATGCAGCTTGTAAATTTTGTTCATATCAATGTTGTGTTCTCTTCTCTCCTATATTAATATATTTGCCAGGCAGAAGTCCTGCCAGCAATTTTCGGGAAAAAAAGTTGCGTCCCTTAGTATTATGACTGGGTGATAACAACAATGTTAACCCAAATGGTTTCAGTTACTTAATGCAGCTTGCACAGAATATCTGAAGAAAAACAATTATAATCAAAGAGGCACATACTGGCGCAACGTCCCTGATGTGAAGACCTCTGTGATGAAATTTATATTGTTGTTTCTTCTGTCAAGCCATGAATTGTAGAACTTTATTATGTTTTTATGCTTGAGGGTTTTAAGCAACCGCACTTCTGATCTCAGCCTCTCCAAATCATCATTGTTCCGAAGTAAATCTCCCACTTTGATCTGGTTCCAAGCAACTTCTAGCCCTTCAAGTTGATCAAAAGCCTTGTATCTATGCCAATAAAATCTAAATCAAGGATCCCAAGCAGATAGAATTGGAGCAGATATATAAGTGTTAATTAGCAAATATAGATGATCACTGTGGCACATCTCCATGGACTAAAAACAGTTGTGGACATAACACAAAAGTCTAGGCATCTAAAGGAAATGTTGGGTTTGCCTTTTCGTCAAGATTGACTAAGAAAATCTCTCAAATGAAATACATACACACATGACCTTGATCTTACCAGAAATAAACAATTTCTAGAACTGAACTTTTTACAATGGATGGAAAACCGTTCAATTACCAGCAGCTAGAAACTAGTGCTCCAAGTGATAAATGAATCAACATGCATAAGATTAATTTGGCACAGGAAGAGTTATTTCAAGTATCCAAGCAATTTGAATGGCTACCACGAAAACTTACATACTAAAGATAAATGTACTGTACACAGAAAAAGGGGAAAACGACACGTTTATGCTTACGAACATACTAAATGATGACATAAATGATAGTTATCCAAAATAAGATGGCACTTATCACTTTCCACACCAGAAAAAGGCAGCTAAATAATCATGTCAGACGTGCACGTCTCAATCCACAGGCTGGAATCGATATGCCAAAATGTCAAACTTAATAAGCCTAGGACATCAGGTACAATTGTACAAATGAAACGGCTGGAAAACTGAAAAGAAGGCAATGCATTGAGCAATCACAGCACAGCAATGCGGTAATGTATTTAAATGAAAGAATGCCAGAATTTGCACACAACGGCATATATGCCAGACACTCAGACAGAGTCTCCTAGGCCCCAAGAGGCCTGCACCCAGAGGCATCAGAGAAGGAACTTGGGTGATAAGTGCATAAGAAATCATTGAACCAATCCAAATGGCGTGGTGCTATAACTGGGCAAAGCACTGAGAACCTAAGAACAGATCCCCCATGGAATGGAATGGACTGTGTAGACATGGGGTCTTCATCTGATAGCACGAAGTCAAACGACCCAGGCTGGAATCGACACACCAAAATGTCAACTTATGAGCCTAGGACAGCAGGTACAAAATGGAATTGGGAACTGAAATGGAGAAAATGCATCGAGCAGTCACAGCAGAGCAATGCAGTCACGTATTTAAACGAAAGGAGATTAGAATTCCCAACAAAAAGGCAATATGTGAGGCATCATATCATATTCATATAGAGAGAGTGGCATCGGGGCTGGAACTTTTGGACAATGAGCGCATCAGAAACCATGGACCCGATCCAAATCGGCGAAAACCTAAGAAACGATCCCCTCCCATGGCATGGACCGCGTAAAAACGGGATCTTTAATCGATCGCGCGAAGTCAAACGGCCCCGAATCGGACCCAGGCGTCAAAGGCCCCCGGGGGAATGAAAGGATACACCGTCTTGAAGGCGCCCTTGCCAAGAACCTCCGTGTACTGCAAGAGTGCGGAATGCGTAAGCACGGGAGCGGGGGGCGAGGGATCAGAGGCCGAATCGAGCGGAGGCGGGGAGGGTGGTCGGGGAGTAAGGGAAGGGAGGCATTACCCGCCCGTAGCGGCCGGTGGGGTCGACCTCGGCGAACTCCGGCTCCGTCTCCGTCTCCGGCGGCGTGGGTGGCATCGCGGGCGGGCGGGCGGCGGGCGGGCTGGGGAGGTTTGCCGTTTTGGGGCCGTCGCGGCTGGGCGCTTAATTGGGATCACAGGGGGCTCGCGCTCGCCTCCCTTTCCGGCCAGAAAGCAACCTTTCCTCTCTTGAGTCTTGAGACTCGAGAGAGTTGTGTGAGAGACTGAGACCCGACCCGACGTCCCGACCCGACGACTTCACCTCGACCCACCACGGCACCACCCCACACGACAACTGCGACTGCGTGCTGGAGTACTCGATCGTCGTGTGAAGGAGACGAAGGTCAGAGTCACAGAGCCTCACAGGCACAGGCAGGCTCCTCTCCTCTCCTCTCAATGGTCTGTCAGTTGGTTCTTTTTTTTTTGAACATGGAAAGGGATCTCCATTACGCATTAACTGAGGCCAAATCATTGGCCAACAGAATATGAGTACAATTTGGAATACTATCTCGTACTGAGACAGTACCCGAACCAAGACTGGCTCCACAAGCAGCTAAGGAAAGCTACTAAGTTACAAGAACGGGGATTATGAACTACTACATTTGAAACAAAATTACAGTGAATCAAATCCTTGAGTTCCCAGACGAGTCCACTTGCCGAGCTTCGATCAACACCTTGTCTGGAGAGCGCCTGAATCACTGCTGCAGCATCAGTCGCTAGGATTATTTTCTGCACTCCCAACTCCACAGCTCGATGTCTGAATGCTCCATCACAGTTGAGTTTGACAAAGCCTTCTGGAGGTTTGCTCCATACTGGTATTGTCGGACGGGAAATAAGTTCCGCTCTGAATTTTTCAAACACTGAACACTCCTCAGCATATGTTCTGATCATCAGTGCGAGCTGTGAGCTACTCCTCGGCCCCTCTCCCTCATGTACTGCACATCTCTCTCCCCACCAGAGATACACCAAGATGACCACTTCTCATAGATATGCACTAGTACATTTGAACAGGGTCACACAGGTGAAGAAGTACAATTGGTGTCTTCAAATCTTCTTATAAGTATTGATGGAGTGTATACTGGTGTATCTGTCAATAAAGTGAAGTAGAGGGGACATGATACATGTGAGCTTGGTGAAACAGGTGATTTACTGGTGGTAGATCAAATCAAACAAATTGAGGCGATCAATGCCTCTTAAGAAAGCCGAAGGTATACTATTGTTTCAGTATCAGATATCCAGAAATTGTTTCTGCTCAAATACTCTATAACAAAAAGAAGTCTTGATGAACAGAGCAAGAACAAACAGAAAAGCTATGGCAAGCTGAGAGCAAGCAGTAGCCAGCATCGCTCATCATCAGCTCGAATTGTTCGACTCAGGAAAAGGTGATTCACAGTAAAACACCATGTATTCTAATTTCTACATACTAGTTCAATACAAGCTCCCATATCCATAACTTACATATCTTTAGATGGCAAATCCTGAAACACAGTTAGTAATTTCGCATAGCAATGCAAAATTAATTTATATAGACACTGATCTTGTTGGCCAAAGTACCCATTGCAGAGAGCTCCCGCTCTGTGCGGGGTCTGGGGAAGGGTGTTAGTGGCAAGCCTTACCCTCGCCTGTGCAATGCGAGGAGACCGCGACTCGAACCCGGGACCTTTGGCCAAAGTATGATTGAAAAATAGGACTGTATTCCAAAAAAACAGGACTTCTATTTCAGGATATAGCTCACTTAAAAAATGATTTCATAGGTATTCAATAAATAAAAAATCCTTGTTGGGTACCACATAACTAATAATACTTCTGAGTGCAAGATAGTAATTAATTATCAGTAAAATTCATAAATATATACACTGATCCTGTTGGTCAAAGGACTGTGAAACAGAGTGTAAAGGACATGACTAATCCCATTGAGAATATAGCTGTGCACTGTGCAAAAAAAGAGATCATAGGGATAAAAAAAATGCTTAGTGGGTTCTCATACATACAACAGTATAACACTTAAAAAGTAAACAGATGTAGCTGGGATGAGATGTGTCGCCTCAAAAGAATAATGCTTCCTGTAAAAAAGTGAATACACAAATGGGTCACCTCAGAAGGAAATCATAATTCATGTTTTGGGGAAACTAATATATCCCTGTTACTGTTAACTAGAACTACTTGTCCAATTGATGACATGTCAGCAATACTTTTTTCTGGAGGAAACAAAAATGTGCATACCCGAATTCTAGTAACTGAAAACTGGTAAACTACGGAACCTGGTATGTGCAAGCTCATAAACTGTATACATCTTATCTTATATATATAGACATGATGTTCACTGAGCTTTGCTGCTAAAACAATACACAACTAAATATTCATTTAGACAGCTGACCACAATTCCACATAATAGCATGGAAAATTAGTGTCCTGCAAAATAAATGTACTTGTGCATAATATTATAATTGTTTTTCTACAATTAACAGTTAACCTCAAAGATGGACCAGATGTAGTACAGGGTTGGTGATGAAAAATAAGTACAAGAATACCAGTACCATTCAATTGAAAAGAACTATCTGGAATTGTAGAAGACAAACTCTATGGTCCAAAAGTTACTGAAAAGAACAAAGAGGTCCAAAAATTACTAAAAAGAACAAACTTAGTACTCCTTCAGCTACAAGGATATGAAAGTAGTTTGGAAGTCTTTAGAAGCAACTCACAATGCATAAAAGTATTAGCTAATATAAAGATTCTGCACAGCTTAAATTTCTCATTGGTCTCTTCAGCTCAACAAATGCCTTGATGGGCAATAACATAAACCGTTTAAGCTTTCAAGAGGCATATAACAAGTAAACCCACAATGTGTATTAAAATAGCCGACTGAAACTACCACAATACCTGGATTAGTCAATTTGAAACTGGATGTACACGTTCTTCTCCATTCCTGTCAATCAGAAAAATGAGAAAAAAAGGAATAAATAGAAAATACATCAACAGATTACGAGCTTTAAGGAGAAAAACACCCCTTGTTCTATGCTGGGTTATCATAACTGACCACCCTTGTCAAAAAATAACCTTTTGTTTAAGAATCTTAAGAATAAAATCCATCTTGCTCACTTGATTCATACTCAAGGGATCCACACAGGCGTCTCTCATAAGCTCCTGGAATGATCCAATTGCCTCATTATTTACCACAATTATGACCGTTATAAAATCTAGCATGAATACTTGACTAGGAAAGCCACCGGAGAATAAACCAATAGGAGGCCAATGCACTTCCAGTATCATATAATAAAACTGAGTTGAAGAAAGAAATCTAACAATATTTTTAAAATGATCCACAAAAAATGTAAGTATATTTCAGTACAAAAAATAGAAATGTCAAAAGTATAGAACATATCTAAAAAGCATTAGCCAAATTCGGTCATATCTGGAATGAAGTTTGAATATAATAAGTAAAATTTAATTTTTTTAAAGAATCAGTGAGAACAAGAGAAAAAGATATCCAACAAATAAAAGAAGCTATTACTATTGAACTAAAAAAACTTAATAAAATATTTTTTTTCTCGATCATGCAAAAGACTTGCGTGTTTTTGTATTAAGTGTGGAGGAAAAAGTTTACAAGCTCGGGGGTTTGATCTCACAGATTTTCAACAAGCATGAACCCCCCCAAATTACAGCTGCTAGTGTATTACTCGCTGCATCAAACAACCTAGATTCTTCGCGCCGGCGGTGTGATCCACAGCTCGGCCTCATACTTGATGAGCTTGAGCAGATCGGTCACCTGGGTGTTTGCTCCGCGGAAGCACCTGGCATTTCTTTCCTTCCAAAGCTCCCAAGCGACCAGCGCAAAGATGGAATCGGCACCTTGGCGGCACTGTCCAGACCACTGTCCTCTCCAGATGTTCCACCAGTCGAAGGTAGAGTTTGCTGGCTGTAGCTGGCTTGTTTCCTGCAGCGCCGAACGGATGAACCACCAGACTTGTTTGGAGTAGGAGCATTCGACGATGATGTGGTCAACAGATTCTGGTTCTTGATCGCAAAGGAAACAGTTGTCCTGAGCTTCTAAACCATGTCGTCGTCGCCGGTCTGCTGTCCATAGACGTTTCCTGAGGGCCAGCCATAGGAATAGCTTAATGCGCAGTGGTGCCCAGGATTCCCAAATTAGATCACACCCCGGCAGCGGGTGCGAAGCATGGTGTAGGGCACCATAAGCAGTCCTGATTGAGAATTTGCCGTCGGAGGCCCATCTCCAAATCAGCTGGTCTGGCGTGTCGTTGAGCACGACGTCTTGCGTCGCGTTCCAGATGCGCAGGTAGTCTGCGATGGCCGGCAGTGGCATCCCTCCTCTGATTTGCTGTATCCAACCCCGGTTTGGCAGCGCCTCAGCCACTGTTTGGTTTTGGCTTACCCTTCTCGGTATTAACTGGAACAAAGTTGGCGCCATTGCTTCGATGGAGGACCCTCCGATCCAGTTGTCAATCCAGAACCTTGTCTCTGTGCCGCTGCCAACTACTGAATAAGTGGAGGCGCGGAAGAATGCTGCTGCTTCGGGCGACGTCCTCAGTGGTAGTTCAGCCCACGCACGATCGCTGTCAGTCTTCTGAAGCCACAGCCATTTGGTTTCGAACGCAGTCCCGGCGAGTCGCATGTCAGTGATTCCCAGGCCGCCGAGTTCCTTTGGCCTAGTGCATGTTTCCCACGCCACCATGCACTTGCCCCTGACGTCGCCATCTTTGCCTGTCCATAGGAACCTACGGCAGATGGAGTCAATCTCCTTTCTCGCCCATGGTGGTAGGCCGTCAGCGATCATGGCATATATTGGCACCGCCGAGAGGACAGACTTGATCCAAATCAGCTTGCCGCTCCTTGCCATCAGTGGCCCGTGACACGCCGGCAATCTTCTCGCGACCGCATCGACTGTCTTCCTGATGTCCGCCTTGGGGATGTTGGTTGTGCTCAGTGGAAGACCCAGGTACCGGATCGGGAATCCCAGTACCTGACATTGGATGATGTCTCTGATTCCCTCGATGTGCTCAGCTGCGCCGAAGATCTCCGTGATGGAGCACTTTGCCA